GAGAGAGAGAGAGAGAGAGAGGGAGGGAGAGAGAGGGAGAGAGAGAGAGAGAGAAGGAGGGAGGGGGTCTCAGTATCTTGTTGCATTGAAATTGGTAGGGCAAAGTGGGTTAGCGGGCGGCGGCGTCGCTGCTACGGCCATTGTGATCGAGAAACGGCTTTAGTTGGATAGTGGATGGGGCTGAAGGGGGGGGGGGGTAAACACAACAGCCGAGCCGAGGGTTCCGACGCTCAGGAGCCCGAGCAGCGCTGGGGTTGTTCGCGGCTCAGGCGGAGCAAGGCGTCAGCGAGCTGGCGTGCCCGCGGTTAGGGGGCTGTTGATAAACCAAGTGGATTTTAAGGAGGGGGGGGTGTACACATTATGGGGTTTCAAAGGGGTCAGCTTGGTAAATGGAGTCTATAGGAACGTATTTATACCCCAGGTAGAAATAGAGACTGCATGGACTGCAATGACCGTTTTGACCCTTTTGAAAACCCGTAATATTTGAACATATTCGACTTTTGGTCCACGCGGTTTCTGAACAGCCTCTTACCAACACCGTGCCCGCTTGTGTAGTGCTCACGCAAAGTACTTGTTTCGTGTGGGGGGGGGGGGGGGGGCTTTAAGGAGTGTCTCTGGTTGGCGATGATGCTCGTCTATCTGGAGCGGGCCGAGGAGCAGTGGGCGTGCGCAGAGATGAGTGCCGCGGGGAATCACAGGGGAGGGAGAGAGAGAGAGGTGCAGGAGCAGCTCGGCGCCATTACTTTTTCAGCCGTTCGCGCGGTGGGTGGGAGGGGGAGGAGGTGTCGACGCGAGGCGCCTCAGGGGCTGCCTGCATATTTTAGCGCCCCTCCCCCACCCTCCGCGGGCGTGGCGGGGCGTAGCGGAGCACGGCTTTGGCGCGGAGGGGGTGGCGGCGGGAGGAGAGAGAGAGAAAGAAAGATGGAGAGATGAGGGGCGAGAGAGGGGGCAGACAAAACCATTCCACTTCTGTCCACATTTCTGCTCCAGCGATCCGTCGCGTCGGTTTGACGCGTTTTGCCGCGCGTGCCAACAATTTTCGCTCGTCCGAATCGCTCTTCCCAGTCCCTCCCTCCCTCTCTCTGTCTCTCTCTCTCTCGTCCTCTCTGTCTCTCTCTCTCTTTACCACTTTCTACCTCACGTCCACCCATCGCTTCCTTGTTTATCTGAGTCTTTCTCTCTCCTCACACAACACTTTATTCCTCTGACTCTGATAAAACTGTCAGTAAATCCTATGCTAATAAGGAAAACGAGTATTGTTAACAAGAAAATTTAGAATGAGATAGTGTTGAAGATTAAGGTAAATTTTGATGCTTGAAATGAGGCTTGAAGTCGAAAAGTTTTTAAATGTTAAAATATGTTGAGTTTTTTAATAATCTTTTTTTAAATATATTTAGTTGGGTATTGTAAACTGCAAACATGCTGACTTACAGTCAGCCGCGTCGACTTGCGAGCGCGAGAGATTTCGCATGAGAGCAGAGCAGATCCTCGAGTTTTTCACGAACCACCGAGCAAGTCCTTGTGCGTGCAGGCTCCTACTCTGATATTTCGTGCGACGTGCGCGTCGTGCGCACGTCGGAAAACTTTTTCGCACCCAAAACCATTTCTCGTCGTTGGCGCGAACGGGAGAGTTTTGTGTGTGTGTGTGTGTGTGTGTGTGTGTGTGTGTGTGTGTGTGTGCGTGTGTGTGTAAGAGGGATGCGGGGGGTGGGGGTAACAAGCTATGATTTCAACCCCCTCCGGCAGAGTGCGCACGACGCCGCCGGGCCGTTACGCCCCTCCGTTACGCCCCTCTCCCCTCCCCGCGGCCTGGCAGTGCGCCCCTGCCGCTCCTGGCTGCGGCCATATAATCCCGTATTCCATTATTTGACCTCCGAAAACGCGACTATTTGCAGCGATTTGCATCCCTCGCGTCGGCGGCCGCGCAGCGACGGATGGGGGGAAAAAAAGTTTCCGTACTTGTTGGAGGGAAAATATTCCGCGCTGTCGCGATATTCCTTCTCCCCCTTTCCCTCCTTTCTCCCCCCTCCGCCGCCACCCCTCCCCTTCCACCTCCCTCCGAACCACACCCGCGCTGACGATATTTGTCTTCTTTTGTGATCCTCTCCGATATGTTGGAGGAAACGGAACGAGCGAATGAGAGGAAGAGAGAGTCAAATGGGGTGGAACACCGAATAAGTAGTGACCTCACCTCCGTGATCTCAACTCACATTCTGGAGTGTACTTGATAGTACGTAGCACTGTTCGTACTTGAACGTGTTATAGTACTTAACATATGTTTTGAGAACATGTACTTTTTGTGTCAGCGCACTTCCGCGAGGTCCCCAAAGTTACCGCAGGCTGCCAAGTTATTTGTTTCATGATTTTCTCATCGGCAAACATATTGTGCAAAGGACGTCCACTTCTTTCGAGAGTATTATTACCATGATTTCGGAGGGGAAGGAGAGGGAAGGAGACCGTAGAGGGAGGGATGAGATGTGGATCGGACCGAAGGGGGGGG